TGCCCCGCCCCACTCCTGCGGCGGGGACACCCCGCGCCTGCCTTTTGTCACCTAGCACCCCCCCCCAGCAGAACCCTTTCCGGAGCTCCGGCAAGCAGCCACGGCCGCCCCATCCCCCCAGCAGAGGGCTCAGGGGGCAAACAACGCCCTGAATTCCGGCCGCAAAGGCCTTGCACCCCTGCAGCGCCGGCGCCAGCTCCCCACAGCCAGCAGGGGGTCATAGACCCGGGGCCGCAGGAAAGCCCAAGAGTCCCCGTGGTGGCTCAGCGCCCTGCGGTCCGTCGAGCACGCTGCGGTGTGCTCCCCCGCCTGCAGGGCTATTTCTCCTTCTCCCGCCATGCCTCCCGGCTGGACTTGAGGAAGTCGCTGCGCAGCAGGCGGTAGAAGAGGACGATGTTCATGGGTGTCATAATGGCCATGCCCACCGTGCCCACGGTGTAGGTGGCCAGGGGGATGTTCTCGCGGTTCAGGACCAGCCAGCGGGTCATCCAGGCCAGCGTGGTGATGCGGAACACCGCGTAGGTGCCCAGGTTGACCATGCTGTTGAGGCGGTACCAGGTGGTGTGCGGCAGGTTGGCCATGAGCAGGATCTGGCGCAGGTGCAGGAAGATGGAGTTAATCTCCACCAGCAAAGCCACAAGGGCAAAGCCGATGTACTGACGGACCAGCACGGCCACGCTGAAGCAGACAATCACCTGGCCAAGAGAGAGGACAGGGGCTTCACCCACAGTCTGAACACCCAGGGCAGGGGACTGGCGGTGACCTGGCCCCCGGCCACCCCCCAAGTGGGACGGATGCTGGGAAAGAGGCAGCGGCTCCCCCTCCCAATCCTCTCTTTGCTGCTGGAGCCAAAGGGACATTTGCCTTTACCAGCTACCCCGGGGCCCCTCGTCACTGTCCGAAAGGCTCAGCCGCGCAGGGAAGCAGCCGCCTGGCGTCTTCGCCCTTTGCACAAGCCAGAGCAAGTGACAAGGCAGCGACTTTGTTTAATAAACTCTGGAAACCCCCCGTGTGCCATGGGTCTAACCAGCCCCCGGCATCCTGGAAAGATGCATCCAGGACTCCTAAATACCCCTGCCCCATAGGGGCCCTACCACAGCCCCCCCGCAGGGCTTGGCTGCTCTGTTCCCACGTCAGAAACCCTGCAGGGCCCTGCTCCCCACCGGCAGAGCTGGCTGCCCCAGACCCCCCACGCGGCCAGGCCAGGGCAAAGCAAGAGGGCGTGACTGGCACAACGCCGGGCACGGCTCGGCCCCGGGCGGAACAGCAGGACAGGCTCCGGGAGAGAGCAGCAGCTCCCCCCCCACTGAATCCACCCACGCTGCCCTCGCCCCGGCTCTGCAATGGGATTAGCTGCTCCCTGCCAGCTAAGCTCCCGGCTCGGCCAGAATTAGACGTATTATTGCAGTGGCCTTTCGACCCGCTCGGCGGCAAACCCAGCCGGGGCGGGCAGAGCAGCAAGTCCAACCGCGGCCCCCCCCCCCCCCCGAAACCTCCCAA